AATCTGCAGATCTACACACATACAGTATATGTATCTCGAAAACCACTTCACCAATATGTACCAAATTTGATATGCACATTATGCTTGGCCTTCTTTAGCATCACTTTCAGAATTTTTGAAATCGAATAAAATTAGGGGCTACCTAAAAACTGCAAAATGTTATGTTTTGAGTGTATTTTCACTGTCACATTGATATCTATAACATTTCTAAGACATTGAAAATAATGCTCACATCAAAGCATTTAAATCTGCACTGCAAAAGCGAGTGCTTTGCAAGTAAGATTTCAAATGCTTTGGACAGATAAACCATCTCTGGGATGCTCTCATAGCAGGTTCTAACCATATATCGATGGCTGAATGGAAGATCGACCTATCTCGGCAGCCAGTTCGAAAACGCTCTATCTCAGAAAATGTTTCACAACGCCCTATCTCAGAAAATTTGTCAACAACGCTCTATTACAGAATTTGGTTGAAGAACGCCTTATTTCAAAATTTTATTGGCAAACACCTTATCTCAGAATTCGGTTCAAAAACGCCCTATCTTTATATATAAAAATGAATTGCTGTTCGTTAGTCTCGCTAAAACTCGAGAACGGCTGGAGCGATTTGACTAATTTTGGTCTTGAATTATTTGTGTAAGTCCAGGGAAGGTTTAGAAGGTGAGTAAATATGATAAAAATGCTAAGAATTTAATAAAAACAACAACTTTGTTTTTCCTTAGAAATCGATTATCATTGTACACGGAAAACTCTATGAAATTGTGAAATCATGACGTCTTAGCTTTCTTAATATTTTGGCAATAACAACAAAAAGTTTTGATTTTTTTTAATCGAAAAACCTTCCACACGGAGGTCCAAAATAGTACTTTTTACATAATTGAAATCGGTTCAGCCGTTTGGTCAGACATCGCGGTCATTTTTATGTATATATATCTCTGGAAATGTTCATGGTAGAGTACTGGAACATGGTTTGGAGATATATGAAATCAATCACATACTCATGAAGAAAAATGGGCTCTTTAAAACGAGTGAATGGCAAAGTACAAACGTACCGCCTTTGCGTTATCTTTGAATGTGTACATAGGTATGTTTGTGAGTGAAATCCTGAATGGCTGGAGGGATTTCAACAAAGTTATGTGTGTGTGTTTGAGTGGGTCTCTGGATAGTTTAGTTTGACAATTGAACACGCCAGTTGGCGCTGGAGTTGAGTTATTTCTAAAAATCTTTTTTTATGATCCGATTTGGCGAATATTCAAAACATGTACTGGACACGGTTGAGACAGTCCAATTACAAAAAAGAGCGGTGAGGTGATGCTGAGGTCGAGTTATTACTAAAATCGAAAAGTGAGAAAAGGTTCCGAGAATGTCAGTATAAATCGAGCTGTTGCACCATTGAGTATATCGAACTCTCGTGTGTTACGATTGGCCCAATGGATGTGATTTGCCAATATTATTATGCGTTAAAGCTTCATTCCAACACACCAGCGTTAAGTTGTGCAGTGGCAAATCTCAAATCACCACCTGTCGAAATAAATTTTTGTAATTGAATTTAATATAAAACCTGATAGAAACATAATTTTTCACTTAAATTGCTTTCGCGAAACTGGTTTTTAAGGTCCCACTAGAACTTGAAGGGAGATCTCCCTATGTGAGGAATAAAAGAGTACCCCCCTTAACCTGATATCTGAGCAATAACAGAGATTTGTCGATTTTGTACTCCTTTATTACTCGTTTAGGAGTCAAATAAGAGATCTCCTAAGCGAGCGACGAAATAATGCTCCCTGAGGCATGATTTGGGAGCAGTAAACGAGATTTCTCGGTTTTTTACTACTGTATTGCTCGCTTAGGAGCTTAATGAGAGATCTCCTAAGCGATCAATTAAAGAATGCTCCCTGAGGCATGATTTGGGAGCAATAAGCGAGATTTGTCGGTTTTGTACTCCGTTATTACTCGCTTAGGAGCAAAAAGTGATGTCTCCTAAGCGAGAAATCCAAGAGTATTCTTTTTGATTGATAGGAGAGCAATACGCACCTCACTCAATGAAATTTGTGTTTTCGAAAGAATTTATCATACAAAAAAAAACAACAGAAAATATTTCTTATAGAAGCATAAGGAGGACACAATAATTTAATTTGGATTGCACACAGATTTTAATAACAGTCCGTTGGTATGTACTTCAACTTTTGTTTAAATATATTAAGTATGTATTGTATTACTTATAAATGCACCGTTATATACTTTTCAGATTGCGCAAATTAATGTCAGCATTTATGTGTGACCCCGGGGTTTAAACATCGCATGGGTGACAAAGATGTCAGATAAGCAAAGTCACCTTCACAATTTCCCCGCTTGGTGGATTCCTGAGCAGGCAAGCATCCTTGACACCCAGGAAATCATATAGGAGTACATACTTATATGTTCATATAGGTGCATATAATTCAAATCTTATCTTACCGTTTTATTATTATGTTTTAATTTCATATGATTTCTCTGCAATATAATTCTAAATTTAAGCAATTATGTAAGACGTATCATTTATGTTTTATTTTTAAGATCTTGTAATATTGCACAAATGCACGTGATTAAAAAGTTAAATAAAAAAATTTAATAAATAGCAAAATCTATTTGGCTAATGTAAAATGTTCGTTATCATTGCACTCTTATTACTCCTACAGGAGGCTTTCGGGATGTCTCTAATGGGCGCACTCCTTTATTGCTCGTTCGGGAGGAATATGGGATGTTTTCTATGTGCACTCCCTTGTTGTCTTTTTGGGAGGTTTCTGGGAGATAACTATGGGAGTACTCCCGTATTGCTCTATTAGGAGGTTTGTGGGATGATAATTCTGTGTGTGCTCCCCGATTGTTCGTTTAGGAGATAAAAGGGATTACTCCCCCTCCTAGGACATCCAATGTTAAAGGGAGTATACAAAATTACATGCTTATACACAGAAGCATAGGGAGCAATGGGGAGTATTCGTATACTCCCAAGGGAGTACTCACCGAGCAATCGTACGATGCTCCCAAGTTCTACTGGGGTACTTCATCTCAGTCTATGTATGTATATTGTATTTCTGTTGAACATGGATACGCATCCATTTTGAAATTGCCACCAGCTATAAAGTTTCTAGGGCAGATTCAGTATAGATCTGGATCATTGTTGCCGCCAGGGAACTTCTTCATGGACATAACACCTTCGTTAGGTTATTTAAGGCGGGAAACGACCACCAAACCATAATCTTAGCCGATGAATGTGCTAATGGAAATCGTAAGCGTGGACTGTTGGAGAAAATGTTGGATCAAAATGGTTAAACTAAAAATCTAATTTTGGGCGGGACGACGTTCGCCGGGTCTGATAGTCTCAGTATATTTTCAATGTGTTTTCGTTTGAGGTAGGGCGTTTCTGAACCGACTTCTGAGATAGGGCGTTCTTCAACCAAATCCTGAGATAACGTTTTCCAATAAAATTCTGAAATAGGGCGTTCTTCAATCAATTTCTGAAGTAGAGCGTTCTTGAAAAGTTTTCTGAGATAGGGCCTTTCAGAACTGGCTGTCGAGATAGGTCGATCTTCCACTTAGTAATGCTAATGGTAAACGAGCTACCTTAAAATTTGGCAAAGTTCTAACTTTATTAAGTAAATAACCAACGTAATGTGTAAGTAAAACATTTACATACATATGTGCAAAATCAAAAATTCAATACGATAAAAATATCCCATAATATTTATAAACAAAGAGTCCCAATAATAATTTCGGCATGGTTTTTATGAAAATTCCTTACAGTGATTTATAAACACTTACTAAAAAAATATTGGAAAAAGACTGATTATAACTAATAAAGCAGAAAATTTTCATGATGCTATAGCTTTTGAGGGAAAACTATTAGAAACGGTAATAATAAATTAATAAATAGAAGCGCTAAAAATATATGTATGTATATTCATTTTTCAGTCCTTTCATGGGATTTGTAGTTTATAGTTCTCTTTGTAATACATACTGGCCTCGTCCTGAATCCCAATAAATCCCAACGCATTGCTATACATAAGAAAAAACTTACCTTTACCATTACATTAAAGTAAAATTTAACAATTACATGATAAAATTTGTGCACTGCTAGGAATCTAGGTGTAATAATTAATATAACCCTAACATGGAAGAACGACATTTTTAGTTCAATCGGCAAAGTTTATGCCATGCTGTGATCCTTATTGAGTATTTAGCACATGACACCAGTGAAGATTCGACTGCTGCTATCTAAAATTACTTACTACCAGCACTACTATATCGCTGTGAATTAAATGCTAGCTGGGATAGTGCACGCAATAGAAAACTTAAAACCCTGTACAACACTATTGCTCTGTATATTTACGGTATTTATGAACATATTTCAATTTTTGCCTTAACCATATTTTCCATTCCCTTCGACGATCCATTGAAAATCAAATGCTTGACATTGCTACACAAAATCGTAATCACATAGGCCACCGATTATTTAAAGGAACAATTTGAATTCAGCAAATCTTCCCGACCTTTTGCTATATGCAATACTAAATTTACGCGTTTAGTATCTGAATACCCTCCCCGTAGCGATTAGAAATTTGAAGAACATAAATGGTTTTAAGAACGAATTAATGCGTTATTTTGTCAAGTGAATACTAAAGTTCTCAATAGTTCTTCCTATCCCCTCCACCATCTATCTTCTCTTTTCATTTTATATTATTTTATTTTACCGTTTATTTTTCTTACCCCTATTTTTTATACTATATATAGATGTGTAATAGCTACATGTAATTTTAGATTATAATATATCATACTCTGTAAATGTAACTATGATTAAATAAATAAATAATAAACATCAGAGAAAATAATGTTTGGGCATCTCCAGCAAAGTGATTATTAAAAAGATTATAGTTTACTATGAGCTGGAACTTAAATGAAAAGCCTAACATTCTTCGGAATAAGAAAGCAATTTTATATTTTATTAAGAAATTATTATATATTTACCCTTGACATCGTCATCTTCTAATGTTGTACTTGAGGAGTCTGTTGATTCTTTAACCTGCGATCCTTCACCTTTCTTGGTGATCATACTCCTACCTGAAAAGTGGATAAATGTGCATTACTACACGCAATTCATGAGGTAAATGAACATATTGCGTGATGCAATCCTTCCTATTCCTCCCAAAATATAAATTTATATAAGGTAGATAATTCAACTAATGACTTAAAAATTTAGCATTTGAACTTACTGGAAAAATTTCTGGTGGCTAACATTGTAGTAAGAATAGCGCCCTTAAGTTTACGACGAGCATTGAATTTCTTGAGACAGTCCACAGTCTCTTGGCGATGAACCACTGAAGCCACGCGTTCTCGTTGCTGAATTTGAAACCAATTTTCTCAATTTTAAGAAATTACAACAACGCAATAATCAAAACTTACGCAAATCCAAGGGTGCTTCAACGCTTCAGCTGCAGTGATTCTTTTATTTGGATTGACAGTAAGCATCTGATTTATCAAATTCTTTGCTTCCGGTGTTACAGTATCCCATTCAGGTGATGGATACTATGCAAAAATGTATGTTTATTAAAAATTATTTATGTATGTACACACAAGCTGTACACTTACATCGTATGCGCCTGCCTTTATCTGTGAATAAAGACGATGCTGATCCTCATCCCAGAAAGGCGGATAACCGACTAGTAAAATGTACAAAATAACTCCTACGAGTTCAAGAGAGAATAGTTCAATTACTGAAGTAAATAAAAAATGTTTGCAAAAAATATAAACTTTTAATACATTTACGTATTAATACAGTCTAAATATCTACGCCTCCCGAACTAGTAATACAGGAAACACATTTCATTTGCAGCCTGGCTACAATTTTTTAAAGATGCACACAATACTCACAATAAGTATAGCAAAACATTTAGCTTTGCGTTGAAGATAACACTTAACTGATTTACTGAAGTAGGCAAGCCTTGATATGCGCTGTAATCCTGACAATAACCCCCCCAAAAATAATGTACTATAAGAATACATATGTGAAATTGTGTTTCTTTCTTCTGTGTAAGTATATAGAATTTTTTAAGACCTTTACTCCAAGTGAATTTTTAAAAATATAACCGTTTTCATATGTATTAAATATTATTAAATAAAGTTCATTGAAGTCAACAATAGAAAGCTTCTCGATGCGCAAATAAAACCGATTCCAAACCTTATGAGAAGTACCCAAATTATCATCTCGATTTCTTTTGCTTTTGCTCATTCTCTTATAGTCATTTTAAGACTTTAATTCATGATACATCCGAGAAAATTTTATAAACAATTAAATGTCGTAATTATTTATTAGTTAGCAATGATTTATATGCCATATTCACATGCAAAATTTCATTATTACATGCAATGTTGCATATTCATATGATGGAAACATTTTTTGTTTTTCTATTTTTGCTCGCTTACCGCATGCCCATATATCTACTGATTTGCCATAAGGCTCCTTTTTCAGCACCTCCGGCGATAAGTAGCCAGGGGTGCCGGCAAAACCGAACCATGCCTGATGGTCGCCCTGAACTTCAATGGCTAGGCCAAAGTCCGCGAGTTTTACAGCTGCACCCTTGGCTTTACTAGCTAACAGTAAATTCTCTGGTTTCAGATCACGATGCACCACACCATTCTGATGGCAATGATTAACCGACTCCAAGATTTGTTGAATGCAATGCGATGCATCTGCCTCTGAATAAAATTCTCGCGCAACAATATCTTCAAACAGCTCACCGCCAGTAACACTGTAATTGTAAATTAAAAAGGCTCATTGTATTGCACTTTGGTTTTATATACTTATGTATATGGTAAGCCCCTACATAAATGTATGTATGCGTATAATTATGTGGACCCACATACTCACATGTACATACAGAGGAATATAAGAAAATATACTCACAGATCAAACACTAAGTAATGGTAGTTTTCTTCCTGTATGCTATCATGTAGTCTAACTGTAAAAGGAAACATGTCAAATCAGTGAAAATCCTTCGAATGGACTAAAACATATTATTGCGCACTACATTTATACGACGCTTGAAAGTAAAATTAGCTACATGTATACAAGACATATTTGTACTAAATATTTGCTATTAACACTTAAAGTACAAAATTATGTTAGTTCTCAAATACTTACGTCACTAAAGAAACTTCTTATATTTACTTACCAATATTAGGATGGTGAAGTTTTCTGCAAATTCTAGCTTCACGCTCTAATTTTTGAAAATCTGTAAAAATAGTATGTGTAAAATCATTCAATTTATTTCAAATCGTTTTTAAGTCTATCAGCCGCACTCAGAAACGATCCTTAAATTAACTCTAATGGGCACTTAACTAATGATCGGTAAAACTGTTAATTAATATTTCCTCTCAGAGTTAAAAATTATGAAATGAAAATTTTAAGTATGGCCACGATTGCGGCCCTTTATTTTTGTGGCATCACTCACTTTTAAAATATAAAAATAAGTATTTATATCATTTTGTGAGCACTGGATCAGCATACGCAATGGCTGAGTGAGCAGAGCAACGGCGCGCCATTCGAGAGATCCGAGTTCGAGTCCTAGGGCAGGAAAGTTTTGTTCTTCTTTTTTTTACTTATTTTTTTCTTGTTTAATCTTTATAAACTGTTTTTATTGATTTTTTTGATTTTTTGATCTAATTTGCTTTTGATTTATAGATTTTGTTGCTTTAAAAAGGAAACAATTTTTTTTTACTTGATAAAATTTTTAGACACTGTTTGCTAAAAGACAAACAAAACCAATAACAGACCAATTCTGGCATCTGTCTTTCAACTCACCGCAGTCTTTCGAGAGACAAAAGTCTTATATTCCGGCAACTATCTTGAAAGCTCTTTTCTGTATTTCGAATGACTAATTGAAAGATGTGCTAATGCGTTATTATATTTATCATTTACAAACGAAATGAAAAAAAAAATTTAAACAGGAAAAAACAAAAAATTTGAGAAACTGAAAGTAAAAGAAAAAATATGAATTAAAAAAGTTTCTAAACGTTAAAGAAAATAAAAATATTAATTTTTTAAGCAATAAAACTTAAAAAAAATTGTTTAAAAAAAAATTCGCTGCCGAGGAATGAACTCGGATCTCTTGAATTGCCACTGTTACAGCAACGTGAACGAAATTGAAATTTATTGAAAACAATCAAAAAATTTCAAAACCATTCGTTAAAAGTTAAGTAAAGGTTTTTGTTTACTTAACTGTAATGTTCATTAAATGCCATTAACGAATCATTGACTGACTCTGATGACTTCAAAATTTAAGAGACAATTAATGTCTCTGTCTGGCTAAAAGGAGTATAAGCAATGTTATGAGCAGGGAACGGATTTTTAGGACTTAAAAACCTATAAAAAAAAGGCGAAATAAAATAACGAAATAGGCTGGAAAAGGCAAAATAACATAGCGAAAAAGGCAGGAAAAGGCACTAGGTGTTGCTAAAAAGGCAAAACAAAATAGCGAAAAAGGCAGCAAAAGGCACTAGGTATTGCAAAAAAAAGCAAAATAAGGCACTAAAAAGACAGAAAATACGAAGAACAACCAAAAAATACATTTATTTTATAAACGTTTATTTTATTTATTTTATTTAACTAATAAACGAGGTTGTATTTTTAAGACAATTCAGTCTTTTATAATACATCAGCGCGCATTAATTTACAAAATTAGAATCTTAAATCTAACATGATACAAATAAGTGATAGCAATAAATTTAAATACAAAAGCTTATCCTTAAAATTAAGATTAAAACTTAACATCAAATAATAGATATTATCACTCCTATAAAGAAACTTAACAATTAAGTATAAAAGAGAAAGGGAGAAAGAAGTATAGAGAAGAGAAAAGCTGTGTTGCAATCACTTTTATTTCATAGAATTAAAGTGTTCATGCATTATCCTCCCGTAGTTGCCCCTATCCATCGCAGACCTAACACTATCAGGAACGGAATTCCAAAGCCTCACAGCATTGAAGAAAAACAGCCTCGAGGAAGACAAATATGAATATTTAGGGATAATAAGATTTGTGTGTCTGCAAGACTTAGATAATTTTAACTTTTCCTAGAGGTATTTCGGAGTTTTGAATTCAATAAGTTTGTACATATATATACAGTTTCTTGCTGCGAGATATTCAAAGATGCTGCATCCAAGAATTTTGTTTCTCCAGAGGGAGATATGGTCAAATTTTTTGAGGCCAAAAACATAACGCGTAACATTATTAAACGCAGCATCAGTTTTGTTATGCGAAATGGAATCAAGCTTGCTATATACAAGCTCAGAGTACGTTATGTGTGGTACAATGAGTTGAATAGCCAGCTTTCTTCGAGTCTCCAAAGGCGTAAATGACGCTGACATTCTCAATCTACGTAAAACAGAATACACATTACTCACAGCTTTATTTATATGGTCAGAGCAGCTTAACTTAGAATTAACGACGAAACCTAAATTTCGAATTTTGTTAGTAAATTCAAGAACACTATTACCAACAAAAAGTTTTGGAATATCTTCTACATATACTTCACTATTACTAACAGGTAACACATACGACTTTGCAGCATTTATGCAAAGAAAATTATCACGCGCCCATTGCGAAATTGCAGACAAGTCACTATTTATTTTATAACACAGATCCTCAACAAGACCGACACGGCTAGACAAATACAATTGAATGTCGTCAGCATAGGCATGGACATTAACATACTGACACACAGAAAATACATCATTGACAAAAAGACTAAACAAAAGGGGACCAAGCACGGAGCCTTGCGGCACACCGGAATCAACAACACAAAATTTGGAGGAGATATCTTTACCCTTCACCTTTTGGGTTCTTCCCACAAGGTAGCTAGTCATAAGCTTAACAGCTCTTTCAGAAAAACCAAAGTAATATTTGAGCTTTGCACAAAGGATGTCGTGATTTACTAAGTCAAATGCCTTAGAAAAATCAAGGAGGCAAAGTAAGGTTAAGTCACCGTTGTCAAACTGTATTCTTATGTCGTCAAGTATTTTTAGCATAGCCGTAGAACAGCTATGCTTGGGTTTAAATCCTGATTGCGATGGGGATAAAAGGTTGCTTCCTTGGACAAAGGAGGAAATTTGCGCTGCCATCATAGACTCGCACACTTTCGAAAACACTGACAAAATGCTTATTGGCCTATAATCACTGGGTTTTGAGGCAATATTCTTTTTGGCGACAGGAATAATAACCGCTTTTTTCCATTCCGTTGGAAAACACGAAGTCGTAAAGCAGTGATTAACGATATGTGTTAGAGTTCCTAGAATAAATGGCAGCACAAGTTTCACAAACTGCAGGGATATCCCATCCTCGCCAACAGCATTAGATTTGATGCTCATAATGGATTTCATAACTTCAAATTCAGTCACTCCGTTGAATTGAAACGTTTCGTTTAGTGTAAAATTTTCATTTAAATTATTAACTACAGGACTATCACAGCTTTTACTGGCACTACTAAAATAGGCATTAAGTAGGTTTGGATCGATATTACACTCAGTCTTAAGTTTTCCATGCACATTAAGATGTTTTAAATTGCGCCATAGATCTTTGGAAGGCAGTGAAGCGTTCAACTTAGAGCTACAGTATAACCGCTTAGCTTGTCTTATAACTGTAGTAGCATTGTTCCGAGCAATTTTGTATTGTGACCAAGCAAAATCAGTCTTGGTTCGTTTCCATTTTGAGTATAACCTGTTACGAGTTAATATAGCTGCTCTGACTTTGCTATTGTACTACGGGCAAGAGCTTTTCATAGCACGAACAATACGTAGAGGGACATGAAAATCAAATAATTTAGTCAAAGTATAATTTAAAAAGTCAAGTTTCGCATCTACAGTCTCAACAAACCAACATTCATCCCAGTTAACATTTGACAGATCAGCAGACATATTATAATATATAATATATATAATAATTATTAACGTTTACAGACTTCAAATCACGATACATAAAACTAACAGGATTAGCAGGACAATTAAACGACAAATCAAACGCACAAAATATTAGATCATGATCAGATATAAAACTTATTTGATTGAATTTAATGACATGGTCAAGACTAGACGTGATAACAAGGTCCAACAAAATTGGATTCGAATTTTGTGCGTATCTTGTTGGTACGAGTTTGTTGACTACAGCAAGGCCTGCTGCGGCCACGTGGTCAAGTAGCTTATTGGCATATGAGTCGTTTAACAACAGATTAACATTGAAATCACCACATCCAACAAAACGTTCATACTCTATTAAAAACACAGATAGCTCAGAAAAAAACGAATCTAACAAGTAACATCTATGAGCGTTATACACACAGGACACTAATATTTTAGTCACACTGTCAGAAATTTCGGCAATAATAAATTCCGTATCACAGTTGTTTGATTCTGCTAAAACGCAAAATTTTAGGGTAGACTTGCAGTAGATTGCAACACCTCCTCCTTTTCTTTTTGTTCTATCGGCTCTGATAAGATTAAAGTTTGGAATACAGTAGTAGAAGTCGGAGATGTCAGGATTAAACCACGTTTCCGAGACGCAAATAACATCAACGTCAGATTTCCCAAAAATATCCCTAATATAATCAAGTTTGTCACCGCTAAGGCTTCTTGCAAACTATGAACTAGTTTCATTATATGAAAAATTTGTACTTTGAATCTTTGACTATTTTATCCTTTCGGGTTTCTAACTCATAAAACTTTAATCTGTATAGTTGTAGTAACATTGAACCACAAGATGCATTTTGAAGTTTTCTGGCAGCATTTTCATTCGATTTTCGCGAAGTAAAGCCTTGAATATACTAAATGTGTGCTCGACGTAAGTTAATACAAGCGGCGCCCAATTTAAATATGGAACGTTTGAAACGTTCATATTATCAGGAATAAGGGCGTTCTCCTCGCCCTTTATAATTTTATCCACGCCCCTTATTGCCTCCAAGCCTTCGTTAGCTGAGAAAACGGCTTTGAGTTTTTCCAACACCAATTTGGCAAGAGGTCTCTGCGCTTCTATAAGCCGCATGGGCAATGTGTATATTTTTTAATCTTGAAAAAAATGTAAATGCTATAATCACTTTTTTAAAGGTAGAAAAGGCAAAAAAAGGCAAATATCTTGAAAAAGGCAAAAAAAGGCAAATATCTTAAAAAAGGCAAAAAAAGGCAACATCAAATGTGTATATATGGAATCAGTGAAAGCTAAATCGTGGACATTCTTAATCGAATATACTCTATCTCTTTAGCAGAAAAAAAGGCAATTTCCATAAAATCCGTTCCCTGGTTATGAGCAATAAGACTACGTCTTTCATGGAGAGTTTTGTTGAAATCATTCAGTTTGCATATTTTTACATAACTGCCTTGTAATTTATTGCTAAACAAAATATATAAATTGCTTACCTCTTGCGGTTAATTTCTTTGTATTGATGATTTTTGCGGCAAACTCAAACTGTGTCGACTTCTGAACACATCGTTTGACAACAGAGAAGGCGCCTCTGAAAATTAAAGATAATTTTGTTAATATTGCATCAAATTACATTACATAAATTATAACGATTAACTTGCCTAGAAACATCACAACTTTAACAACTAATCAACCCCAACCCCAACCCCACAGTGACCGATCTTTAAATTTGAGACGACAAAAATACATAAAGAATGTCAAAATGTACAAGAATTAATAAATTTGGGACTGTGGTAACTATTACAGATAAACAAAGTAAAGACTTACTTTCGAAATCAATCCCTAATAAAAATTTACTTTCAGCAGACGAAATATTTTGAGTCTATCGAGCACGCGAAAAAGGAAAGTCGGAATTTTTATGCTCTCATCGCTAGGATTGTTCTATACCGAAAAATATACCCCTATTTTTTTATTTTGAAAACAAAAAATATTTAGAGGTCGCTCAAAGCGCTCAAAGTTTTCCATGTATTTTATATAGGAAAAAACCACTGTTCGTAGAAATGGTATAGAGTTCTAAACAATCAATATTTTTCGATCGAGAAACTCAGTTTCTCTTCAGGATATTCCGAATAATAATACTCAATTGTTTGTTTAACCATGTTTTCATAGTAACTTTATTTTACAGGCCCGCCAAAAACCCCCAGAAGTGCAATGCAAAATCTTTAGTATTAAAATATGGTTAAATATTGTTTTTGGAGGTCTCCTAACGAGAACCAGAGTTTTCCGATCGAAAAATATTGATTCTCAAGAGTACTATACTGTGAGGTGTAATCAGCTGGTGGCCCATGAAATGATGTGTAGACAGCTTTTACGAGTAATCAGCATTGATTTTTTTTTTTTATTTGAAAGTATTCTCTTTTTATACAAAATTTCTTACACTAATTTACACTAATGCTTATAAACTACAAGCATTTACATAGTATGCAAAGTCAGCATATTTCTTCATAGTTATTTCGACTGTTGACAAACCAACACTGTCGATTAGTCACGTGAGTTGGTCAATGCGACGGCTTGAGTAATAATGATGACAAATGTAAACAAATATATATATGACGTTAAACTCCCGCTGAGTTCATTAGAATTTATGTGGGTCATAATGGCTTAGCTGTGTACGGTCGATATTTAGTGTAATACTACACCTTCCTCCTTAAGAATAGATATATACGATTGCAGTCAATTGTATATATCTATTGGAAAGACTTAATGACCTACTTAAGGTTTGCTGGAGTTTACAAAATTTTAATTGCTTCTCGGCTCTTATTGCAATTATTGCATAAAGAGTTTGTTGTGTGGGTTTTTATCTGTTTACATTTGTTTTACATGTGTCTTTATTGTGCTGACTTTGCCTTTTTTTTTTTGAACATGATATGTTGTATTTTGTTTTCTTTGGCTCGTGTGCCTGTTTATTAATATGAGTAAACTGGAGTGCTTATTGTTTGGGTTTTTTTTGTTATTACTAAGGTTTTATACTGTTTTAAGTCTATTCTTATGAATTATAATTTCTTTATTTTTATTGTTTTTATTGGTATTTCCTATGCTATGTGGTATTAAAGTAAAATTGTTATTCTTATCAATACTTTTAACCTTATAGTATCCGTTATATTTATTTTCTAGCTTATGGGAGGCCTCTTCTCTAACTAACACTAAATCTCCTATGTTTATTTCCTTTCTGTAGCTACTTTTGTCATAATTTGTTTTTTGTTTTTCTTTAGCGTCTTGGACTAAATTCCTAGCTCTTTGCTGTGCTATTTGAAGTCTATATTTTACTTCTTTGTCGTAAGCTTCGTGATTGTACAATGGGCTGATTTTATTTTCTCTTAGAAATTCGTAATTTGGTGGATTTTTTGCGAATATAAGTTCAAAAGGACAATATTTATGTGTGGTTGATGGCGTCGTATTGTAACAATACGCGAAATACCTGAGGTATTCGTCCCAATCATCTTTGTCGCTGGGTATGTATGAACGTATATATTCATTGAATGTCCTGTGACTGCGTTCTACAGTACCCAAGGTTTGATGATGATACGGTGTTGAAGTTTTATGCTCAATTTTCAACAGTTTACACAGTTCTTTGAATAAGTTATTTTTGTATTCTGTGCCCATGTCCGTCATGATTGTTTTCATGTGTCCATAAATCAAAATGAAATGCTCTAACACGGCTTTAGCGACTGTTGTTGCGTGTTTGCTTGGGACTGGGATCGCTACCAAGTATTTGGTTAGATCGCATATAATGGTAACTGCATATTCGTTTCCATTTATCGACTTCGGTAATGGTCCGACTGTATCGATTTGTACAATATCGAATGCCTTCGGAGGTGTCTCCGTTATTATCATTGGCTCCTTTATGTGTTTACTAGTTTTATTTTTCTTACAGTGGATGGAGTTCTTTACGTATTTTCTTACGTCATTTTTCATATTTGGCCAGCTATATTTCTGCTTGATTTTATGTCATGCGATTTATTCCTGGGTGGCCACCACTAATAGGATCGTCATGATATTTATGCAGAATTTCTTTAATTTTCCCGGGATTTGTCACATATATAACCTCTGGGGTTAGTGCGATTGTTAGATTTTTGAGAACTTTATTACCCATTTCTATAAATTTGGCTACTGCAGTATAATTTCTTTTAAACAATTTGTCCCCTAAGGACAACTGTATTTGTACAAGTCCTAAATTGCCGGCTTCTCTTTCAAGCCTGGTAAAGAATTGTCCTAAGTCAATCTTATCCTCAACAATTAGGTTGCTTAAATCCAAATAGCTACAAATTTTCTTTCCTTTTTTGAAATATAATTTCGGGGATTGAAAACGAGCTCGACATGTCTTTACTTCAAATTTATTTAGCGCTTCGTATATTTTGGGGTTCTCTTTGTGACTTTCTTTATTTTCAATATTACTGCTGGTATTTTTTGCTGCTGATCTTGTTGTTATTTTTAGTATTTTACTTGCTTCCACTTACATATCTTTTAGGTTTGTAATTGTTATGCGAGATAATGCATCCGCAATGTGATTTTCCTTTCCGGCGATATACTCCACTTCAAAATCGTACTCCTCTAAACCGAGTCTTACTCGTGTTAATTTAGACGAACGACTCTTCATTGGTATGTTAAAGGACGGTGGTCGGTTTTAACTAGAAATTTTCTGCCATTGTGGCTTTGTTTATTTCACCTTTTGTGAATGACCTAGAAGCGTAAGCAATTGGTAACTGTTTGCCATCGTGTTCTTGGCTAAGGACTGCCCCACAAGCGTACCCACTAGCGTCTGTTGTTATGCAGAATTCTTTATCGAAATCTGGGTATTGCAAAAGTTTTGGACTAATTAATGCTTCCTTTAAGTAGGCAAAAGCTTTTTGACATTCTTCTGTCCAATCGAAGGAAACATTCTTTTTGCAAAGCCTAGTTAATTTTCTTGAGTGTTCTGCAAAATTCGGTACAAATCTTCTGTAATAATTGCAGAAAGCTACGAATCTCTTAACTTCATCGGCTGTTTTTGGTGTTGGGTAATTTTGGACTGTTTCGAATTTGCTTGGGTCGGGTGATATTCCCTTGTTGGTACATTTATATCCTAAATATGTTACTTCTTGGCTGAAAAATAGACATTTATCTGGATATAATTTTAGGTTGTATTTTCTGCAAGTGGAGAACACGTCTCCTAAGTTTTTTAGCATATGGTTTTCAGAACAACCTAATACAACCAAATCATCCATGTAGAGAAATGCTTGAGATGGTTTGAGGCCTGCAAATGCTAGTGTCATCATTCTTTGGAATGAATTCGGTGCTACTTTTAATCCGTAGGGTAGTCTTTTGAATCTATATGTGCCATTTTCAGCTGTGAATGAGGTTATATCCCTCGAGTCTGGGTGTAATTCTATTTGATGAAAACCTGACATAAGGTCCAGGCATGAAAAATATTTTGCTCTTCCAAGTTGATCTAAAATATCGTCAATTCTTGGAAGTGGGAATTTGTCTGCTGCTAATTTTTTATTTACCTGTCTGTAGTCAACCACTAATCTCCATCTTTTTTCGGTTGTCCCTGGAAGTGATTTTTTAGGGACTAGTAAGATTGGGCTATTGTATTCTGATATGAAGGGTTCTATTATGTCATCTTCGATTAACTTATTTACCTGTTTGCTTATTTCTCCTTTTTGTGTTTGAGGCAATCTATAACTTTTTATGTAAACTGGAGTGTCATCCCTTATGTATAATTTTTGTTTGTAAAAGTTATTAGAGGAAATTGATTCAGTTTCTAGTGCAAATATGTCTATGAATTCTGTGCGTAATGTTGTTAGCTGAGAGTTAGCAAATTTTGGAAAGTTTTTGGTTAATCGTTTTAATTTTTCTGTATCATTGCACTTTTTATTGTGTGTGGTTGTTTCAAATAGTGTGTAGTCACCTAGATTTTCAGTATTAATCTTGTAATTTTGAATAGTTTTGTTTGTATGTGTTGTGTTGATGATTCTAACGAAAGTTTGATCCTTATTTGTGATTGCGTTTGCTATGAAAATGCCTTCAGATAGTTGTTGATGCGGTATGAAGATGTTTTTGTTATCGGTGTTTACTTTAACTTGCCTAATGACTTCGGACCTAGCAGGGGTCGTAATTGTATTGACAGACAGACAATTTGTTAGGTGCTTTGTTATTGTTTGGGGAAAATCATATGGTCTTAGGATTAATTTATCTTCTGTTTTTCCGTAATCTAAAATACAATTGTATTTCTTTATGAAATCTAGTCCTATTATTCCATCGCATGGTATTGGAAAGTTGTGTTCTACGACATGGAATTTGTGGTAAATTTGAAGGTCATCATCTTTTAAATCCGCTTTAACTGTGCCTAATGTGCTGGTTATACCCTGACCAATGCCCTTAAAATCAGTAATTTGCTCTGTATTTATTTTATGATTATTACTAACTTGATATTTTTTAATAATGGAGATGTCTGCTCCTGTGTCTATTAAGAAATTTGAAATTGAATTATTTAATGATGTCCTTTTAGATATATAGCTGTTAAGATGTAGATTTAGTACGCATATTTTCCTATC